TCAAAATTTGACCGTGAAGCGGTTACATCCAGAATGCAGGTGGAAGAGACAGAGTTTAGAAAAAGAATGAAGGAAGATAATGTGGATGCAATAGACAAAATAGTGCTTCTACAAAGGGAGGTACAAGGACTGGTGAACACACAACCCACAATGCAGCCCCAAATTGGCAATGGTAAAGATAAAGAGAAGGGGAGTGGGGAGAAGGTACCTGAGGTAATGCCCCATCAAGTTGAAAGTACAGGAGGGAACTCCCTCTTGAGTATAACTGACCTCTGAGTTCAACCAAGGAACGAAGACAGATAAGCAGACAGCAGGGAAAAACCTCAAACAGTGGAAAAGACAATACAGGGAGATTCCACCTCAAAAGACCAAAGAGCAGAGTCCTTTAACTCCCCAAAAGCGAGATGCAGCGAGTAATTCAAAAGAGGTAGCTGAGGACTCCCCAAGCAAAAAACAAAAGACTGAAGAGACCAATTATTTTGTGGATGGCGATGTGGCGGACCCTGCACACATGCAGGGCCGCCCAGCCCAATGAATATTCTTAGTTATAATTGCCGGGGGTTGGGGAATCCCCTAGCAATTAGAAGAGTGGGGCAGCTGCTCCAAAGACAAAACCCCATGATTGCCTTCCTCATGGAAACAAAAAAACAGGAGAAAGAGTGGGAGGAGGTAATCAAAGAGCTAGGCTGGGAAAAAGGAAAAGTAATAGGTTCGGTGGGCAGAGCAGGAGGACTATTGATGGTGTGGAAACCAGAGATACAGGTGGTGGTGAAATCAAAATCAACAAACCATATTGATGTATGTGTGACTGAAGAAGGAAGACAGTGGAGATTAACGGGCATTTACGGGTGGCCAGAACAGGACAACAAACACATGACGTGTACACTTCTAAGGCAACTACGAGACATGACGGATCTACCATGGATTGTATGCGGAGACTTCAATTTGATACAGAGTTACGAGGAAAAAAATGGACTAAACATGGCAAATGTTCAGGAAATGGATATGTTCAATGATGCATTAGAAGACTGTGAACTAGAAGATTTGGGCTATTATGGGAAGACCTTCACTTGGGATAACAATCATTCGGATGACACATACCTGGAAGAACGTTTGGATAGAATGGTAGCAACGAGCTCCTGGCAGGAACTGTTTCCTCACGCTAGAGTTCACCACCTACAAAGATGTGGATCGGATCACTCGCCAATATACCTGCAGACAGAACTGGTCAATAACAATATCAGGTGGGGAAGGAATTTCAGATACGAGACTTATTGGCAAAAACATGTTGATTGCAAACAGGTGATTGCAGATGGGTGGGCAGAGGAACAAGGAGCATCTGTCTTGGACAAAATGAAAACCTGTGAAGGTAGATTAACCCGATGGAGTAGAGGGACTTTTGGGGACCTAAGGGAAAGGAAAAAGAAAGCTGAGAGAGCCTTAGAAGTTCTGGAGAAACGAAAAAAGAACGCTGCAGTTATAATCCAGAGAAAGGCAATTGAGAAAGAACTTCACGAAATATTAATGCAGGAGGAGATGATTTGGAGGCAAAGGTCCCGTGCAGACTGGTTGCAAGGAGGAGACAAGAACACTAATTATTTCCACAGAAAAGCCTCTGATAGACGCAATAGAAATACTATCAGCAGACTAATTGAGGAAGACGGTACCAGGAGGGAGGGACAGGAGGAAGTTTCGAAGTGTTTAACTAACCATTTTATTTCTCTCTTCACTGCAGGTAACTCAATCCCCATCAGTCAGATATTGGAAGCAGTCCCCTGTAAGGTTACACAAGAGATGAATGAAGAGTTGTTGAAACCTCTTACGGGGGAGGAAATCTGGAAAGCACTAAAACAGATGGGACCTCACAAGGCACCTGGAGTAGATGGGATGACAGCTTTCTTTTTTCAAAGGAATTGGGAAATTGTGGGGCAAGATGTGGTAAATGAAATTCAGCAATATATGAACACTGGAACTTTCCCACAGGCTCTAAATCACACGCTGTTGGTGCTAATCCCTAAGAAGAAATTGGCAGAAAGTCCAGGGGATTATCGGCCCATTAGCCTCTGCAGAGTTTTGTACAAGATTTTATCAAAGGTATTAGCCAACAGACTCAAAGTTATTCTGCCTGCTGTTATTACTGAATTTCAAAGTGCTTTCGTCCCCAAGAGACTCATTACAGACAACGTTATGGTAGCTTTTGAATGCTTCCACTCGATGAAAGGGAGGACACAAGGAAGAAAAGGAATTATGTCGGCAAAATTGGATATCTCGAAGGCGTATGACAGGGTTGAGTGGGGTTTCTTGGAATCCATAATGAAAAAGCTGGGGTTTGTGGAGAGATGGGTGGCGCTGATCATGAATTGTGTGACCTCAGTGTCCTATTCTATACTTGTTAATGGCCACAAGACCGAAATGTTTACGCCTACAAGAGGACTGAGGCAAGGAGATCCTATATCTCCTTACCTGTTTCTATTCGTTGCCGAAGGATTATCCGCTCTCCTTACTAAAGCAGAGGGGGAGAAAAGAATTGAAGGGATTAAGGCGAAGAGAGGAGCTCCCTCCATCTCTCACCTTCTGTTTGCAGATGATAGCGTCTTATTCACCAAGGCAACCAAACCAGCGTGTGAACAATTATGAGAGATCCTAAAGGTCTATGAGCAGGAATCAGGTCAGAAGGTCAATCTTGACAAGTCTGAAGTTTCTTTTAGCCCAAATGTAGACGACAACCGAAGAGAAGAATTGGCTGCAATACTAGGCATGAAGAAAGTAGATTATCATACCAAATATTTGGGTCTCCCTACTGTAATTGGCAGAAGAAAGAAAGAGGTATTTAGCTACCTTGTAGACAGGGTTCGAAGGAAGGTCAAACTATGGAAAGGGAAGCTGCTTTAGTTTGGTGGGAAAGAGGTATTGATCAAGGCGGTGGCCCAAGCTCAAGTCACCTATGCAATGCAAGTATTCCTCATACCAATTTCTGTAACTCAAGAGATTCAAAGTCTCGTGTCTAATTTCTGGTGGGGACAAAAAGATGCTGAACGAAGGACACATTGGGTTAGCTGGAAGGAACTTTGTCGACCAAAAAAACAGGGTGGTCTTGGTTTCAGGAATCTACACGAGTTCAACCTGGCACTATTGGGGAAACAACTTTGGAACCTAATACAAAATCCCCAGTCGTTGGTAGCAAAAGTATTAAAAGCAAAGTACTTTCCCGCTCGGGAGGTATTGGAAGCGGAAGAGGGGTACAATCCTAGTTACGTGTGGAAGAGCATCTTAGCAGCGAAGGACCTATTGAAAGAAGGACTTAGATGGAGAATTGGAGATGGAAGAAGTGTGGACATATGCCAAGACAAATGGGTACCGAGTGCAGCAAATCACAAAATAGCCTATCCAGTCTCTATCTTTGCACCATACACCTCAGTGAGCGAATTGATGGACATAGAGTCGAGAACATGGAATCAGGCTATTCTTCAAACACATTTCCTACCCGAGGACAGACAGAATATCACGAAGATCCCTATTCCAAGACAACCAGCTCGTGACAAGAGAATCTGGAGCCACGAAAGATCAGGTATCTACTCGGTAAAATCAGCATATAAATTCCAGCGAAGCAAACAAGAGGAAGAACTGGGAGAACCCTATTCCCCAATTAATTGGGAACAACTATGGAAACTAGAGATTCCTCCCAAGGTTAAAGTCTTTGCATGGAGATGGATACGAAACATTCTGCCCACTGGGGCAAATGTTCTGAAAAGAACGAAGAAAGGCTGTGAAGAATGCCCGTTCTGTGGCCAAGAGGAAACCCAAAAGCACATTTTCTATGATTGCGACTGGGTAAGACGAGTATGGCGTCCTAGTGTTCTTAATCGCTGTTTTGAGAAGGGAGATGAACTGACCTGTGAAGAATGGATGGCAAGCCTTCAAGAGACTGAATCAAATGAGAAGATTGGCCAATTCCTGGTAGCACTCTGGTTTATCTGGGAAGAACGAAATTGTCAACAGTGGAACAAAAAGAAAAGTGAAGAATATGAGATAATGGGGAAAGCGGAAAGATGGCTGCTGGAATACCTAGATTTCCAGAGCGCGACGACGGACAGTGGACCCAGACAAGCAATTAGCTGGAAACCGCCGGAGAGAGCCAACTACAAGATCAACGTTGATGCCGCCACCTTCGCCGGAATGGTAACTGGTCTGGGGATGGTAATCCGTGACAGAAATGGAGGCTTTTGCTTCGCCGGTGTGAGGAGATCGAGAACCCAATGGACGGCGGAGCTTGCGGAGATTCAGGCTATCAAATTTGGCTTGGAGGTTGCGATTGAAAGGGGATATAGCTCGGGAGAGATTGAAACGGATTGCCTCAGAGTGGTAAAGCAGATCAGGAAGGAGGAAGAGACGCTAACTGAAGAAGGGAATGAATGTGAAGAACTGAGGGATAAGATCGAGGGGATGAATGGCGATTTTGTGGTCAGCTTTTCGGGTCGGGAAAGTAACCGGGTGGCTCATATTTTGGCCCATACCCAATGTGGGTGGGATGAAACTGAATTTTGGGTAGATAGGCCCCCCATTTTTATTGTGAACCAGCTCATTTCTGATACCTGTAATATTTCTCACTAATGAAATAATACAGGTCTTTACAATCAAAACTTCAAATATAAAAGTTTTGGTGTTTATGTTAAATATTATATTTAAATATGGGTATTTGTTATGTTGTTTGTTATTTTGTATTTTATTTAAATATAGATATAGATTGTAAGCAAATTATCTTTTTAAATTCATATGATGGTAATGGGTTTTCACATTTATACATAATTTATTTAACGACACATCGGTTGTACCGCTCATTTAAACCATTCCACTTACTAAACCTATGCAACGATATAAATTGATTTCACAACCTAGATTTTTCGACATATCGCCTAAAATGTAATATAACATCTTATTTTTAACAAAAACAAAAAATGGAATATAACATCTTATTTTTCGACATATCGACTAAAATGTATACCATATACGAGTTAATAAAATTCTTTTTAGGAAGTGTGAAGGACTGTTCACTTATTTAATACGAAATCTTTTCCTAATCGCTCAAAATCTGTACTCTTTTATTCCCTCGAAAACATTCCAAGTTTCCAACTCGACAATCGAACTATCAAAGTGGGTTACATAACTTATCACATTACAAGGCTGCCTCCTCCACCCTTTTTGGAACGTCCGGCCCGCTTTTACAGGATTTTACGACTTCTGCTGCGTTCTGCATTCCCTAATCCGTCTCTTTTTTCTACCAAGCCTTGGCTGCAACTTATCAAGCTAGCTTCTTCAATTGCAGTAAAAAAAAAAATATATATAAGCTAAAAAAACTAACACATCTAACAGTTTCAAACAATGAACGCCACAGCTGAGCTGATCGAAAGCTTATGAATGCGAAATGTCAGATGGACCTCATGGCTCATGGCTGTTGATGTGGATGATCGTTTTCCAACATGGTAATACTGCTATACCGTACTGAGGCTAGCTTATAACAGTCTACTACACTGAGGCTTTCTATTCTCCTACTCCTGCATCTGCTACATACGCCACACAAGCAGCCTCTCTATGATCAGCCGCCCGTCCTTTTCTTGAACAAAACGTCGAATCATCCACCATCACCAAAAGACTCACTATCTCGATGATAGCGAAACTTCGGCAGAAAGGAATATGCAGCCTATACCTTGAACCTGCTTTATGGATTGCCTCGGGCCATACTTCAGTTGCCTTTGACCTATTTGTAAGCTAAATGTACTTTAGCTAGAACGCAAAATGACACTCTTGTCTTGTGTAGTAGCTATGCATTAGGACGACTCCCAGATCTTGTAATCCCTTCCCTCGAGAGCCGGTGACCATTTGCGTGGGCCATTAGGGGGTTCGAAATGGCCTGGACCAATCTTCACTGCTATTTTCTTGTCGATGATGGCTGCGTACACATCTCTTGCTGCCTTGGAAATTTCTACCTAAAATATGCAAACCTAAGCGGTTAGTGCTTGTGATTTTGTATACTTTTTATTTGCAATAAGACTGTTTTTGAATACAATTCCATGTTGTCATTTCAGCATATCTTGGATAGCATTAGGTGGAATACTGGAAGCATGGAGTTTCGAGGCACTTACCACACTGCGGCAATGGATTTTGTGGCGGTTTCTGAAAGCGATGAGAGCAGCAATTTCAGATCGATAATTAGAGGAGTAGATGTGGTCAAAGAATACCGCAGGCGTTCCTGGGTGAGTCAGGATGTAGGCATATCCTTGCATTTCCTTTCCACCTGGGAATCTCCAGTGACCCTATGAAAGTCGCCAGAATTCAGAGATAACGCGAGCATGAAATAAATGTCGGAATTTCTTTCCTCCGTAGGAAAGCAAATGCTGTCATACACACTGCCAGTTGCTTCATAAATCAATCGTACCACTATCTGAGACAAGACAATGAACTACAACTTGGAGTTGGCTTAGTGATAATGAGTAGATGAAACATCTAAGTCCATTCTACATTTGAAACTCTTAGACCCAATATCACGGTCTTCTCTTGAAAGAAACATATTGATGGATAATGCTTCCAGATGCCAATGGGGGAGCACAGCGCATCTATTTTTTTTTTTCTTAAGATCAATACCTAGCCATAAACTCTCATTTTTTTAAAAAGTAGATAAACAAAAGGATCTTTGCGTACTAGTCTCCTTCAATAGTCAGAGTACTTATGTAATTGTCTTATGATGCTTCCACATAGTCAATAAAGAAAAAGGAGAAATTCAAATTCAAATGGTAAATGTTTATGTACCTGTGTTGAGCCAGTGTCATGATTCTCCACAAATGTAACAGCACGAGATGGCCACCATCCAACAACTCCTGGAGGCTTTCCCTTCTCATCTGCCAAACGCCAGTACTCGCATCTTTCCAATGCCTGCACGAAATAGATATTCCCCCTTAGACTAAGTTAGTCTGCACCTAGTAATGGTAAGCAAGAAGTAACACATAATAAAAAGCCAAACTTTCGTCGTACTATTCATTCCTTTCTTCAGCCGAAGTGAGGCAATAACGATAGCATCTAATTAGATAATAAATTATGTACTTTCCGGTGTAACAACGGCACATCTTAGCCATCACTCTGCAGAAAAATATGATGACAGCTTTATGAGAAGAAATTATTGAGGGCTCACCTCATGAAGCACCCCTTTTGTGGTGACATCAAATGCACCCGCAGATCCAGTTGTCGCGTTTATCCAATCAATAATTCTTTGTCGATGTGCATCTTGATTGTGATCCATTTCACCATAAGTATAACTGAGGGAATCCCAATACTCGCCAACTGCAAAATAAGGACTGGTTGCATCCATGTAATCCTTTACATAGCCACCCCAAAACCCTCTAACAAAATCAAGGCGCCAACCATCATAACCAATTTCTTCTCTGCACATCAAAAAGAACTGGTAGATTAGCAGTGTCATGTTACACGGTGATGATGATGATCATCAATAACAGAGCAAAGAGATAATACTTACGGTTGTTACAGGAAAGATAAAAAGGAAAAACGAATATTCACCTTAGCCAGCACATCCATTCTTTAATATCTTTCCTCACAAAATCCTGAGAGTGATCAATGTTTGGGGCAGCATGAAAGTTGTCCCCACTGCTCTTGTTTCCCCTACCCTGTACAAAGGAAACAAGGGTTATACATCTTATACCAAATAGGTCATGCAAAGATATACCGCATTGCATCTCATTTCCAAGTTGGATCAGAAGCATCAAGCTGAAATTACAAGTCACACAATCAGTATTATGATTATCCTTCCAATACGTGTCCCTTGATTCATTTGCTAAAATGCAAAACAAGAGTCGCCAACTTTTTGTAGAAGAAAAATAAAATATAGATGCAGTATTTGACCAATGCCGTATCCTTTTATTCTCCGAATTCTAGCGCTTCTGGAAGGGTCTTCTAGAAGGCGAGTAGTGTACTATAGGTTATCATACAACTTTAAGTACCTGGAAATGTGGATCATCAGCAACAACTGCTCGATCATCCCAATTTAAGCGACCACCAAAGATGTTCCATATTCCATTTTGGTTCTGATACTGAGCACATCGATGGTTTAGGACAGCATCTCCAAGAACTTTGAGGCCTGATTCATGAAGCTTTCCGACAAGTTCCTTGAGCTCATAAATGTTTCCATATCTGTTGGCATACAAAGTGTAGAAACTGATTGGTTTGCTATGGAAATACTGACAATCTTGCTGAAGTGTTTCTAGTTAAGAATAAAAGATATACTCTGAATAGATATAGTAGCACTTTTCCGATAAATAATTCAGAATAAATTTGTCCAACGGAACATGGGATAGAGATCATTCGTTTGGCACCATGTTTAAGCCCCCTTGTCAAGGAAAAATCAAATTGTCTGTTTCTCATTTAAAGCTTGTGAAATTATGTTAAAAAAAGAAGCAAGAGTTTAAAGTTCAATTCCAACGAACAATTGATCCCATTGGTCTCTGACTGAGCCACGTAAAAGTAATTGCATGAAGAGTATGACAATCCATATCAATATTTCATGGAAAGTACCTGGAGTTCAAATTATACAGATCCTTTGGCATGTAGCCTTCAGGTGACACTGACTCTGTAGGTGGAGGCAACCACACAACTGTGAACCCAAGTGAAGCTATATCTTCTGCCTTCTCTTTGAGCTCCATATACCATCTTCCAGATTTGTGGGATTCCCAATTGAACCCCTGAAGCACTATTTCATAACCACTCCCAGTACCAGAGCTCTTTTTAGGAGGTGATTTCTCCAGCTCTTCTTCATATACAACCTCTTCTTTGAAAGTTGGTATGGAGCTTCTAAAGATGCTGTAGGCTTCAGCAGCCAATTTCTCAATCTCCTGAAGTATGCTTTCTTGTGCTTCTTTAGTTTTCACCTTCCGACTGTTGTCAGAAGAAATTCCACTCACCAAGTTCCTTATTTCTTTAATTATCTCATTAGTGAAGGCAGTATCAGAACCTTGATTTTGATCTAGAGCCTTTACAGAGACTGGTGAATCTTTAGAGTGTTCCTGAGTGAACTGAGCAAGCAAGCTACTTGAACTTGAGAGTGGGACATAAAAGTCATTTCCCTTACATTTCAACCAAGTATTATCATTTAGCTTGAGTACAAAAAGAAAGCCTGCAAGACCCTCATCCAAGGTAAATAACCCCGAACATCCACGTCCATCCTCCTTTGCCTGAAAAGTAAGACGAGTTTCAGAAAACAAAATAGGACATAGTCAATAATTATTACAAAGTACCAAACCATTGATCAAAATTGTCAGAAAATAGAATATTAATGGATCTGGAAAAGCCAAATATTCAGAGAAATTGCAACTAGTTATGCTAAGAAATTTCAGTTTTTCTGTCTTGTGTCATTCAAAACCATATCCAGCTCCTCACCAGTCACCACTACAAGTAGGAAAAAAAACAATGTGCTTTTGTATCAGTAATGTCAGAAAATGTGCAAATGGTCTTAGGTAATGCGTACTTATCGGCTTATCTTTTGATGAAACAGATATCTTCAATCATTGAAACCATGGACATACTCTTTAATCTGTAAATTCACCACCTATACTTTATTCATACCTGCAACAAAGTCCGCAAAGCCTTCTCCTTGAATATAACTGTTTCTGGTGGATGAGGGCCAGGTGGAATTTCCCAATTTTTAGCAGCATCTCTGCACACTCCCCAGTGAACAACAACTTCAGGTAGATCAGTTTCAAGATAAAGGAGATTCTTAGACGTCTCGGGGCACCTTCTAACTGAAACAGTAACAGAGTTTTCTATAGCAGTATGTTTGGCAATGGGCTGCTCTTCATAAATCCCTTCTACTTTCCTATCTTCCTTTTTAACATTGTTGGGCTCCTGGGTATGGTCTTGTGTTTCTGGTTTGAGCAATATGTTGGAAAAGAAAGGCCCTAGGATTCAAAGTAAGCCATTAGAAGCAATTAGTACAAGAGAAAACAGACATGGGCAAGAGAAAACCATATGGAGAGAGATGATGAGAACCATCAAACTGATCACCCACCGTTGTCAACAATCAAAACAGCAAGACTGATCCACAGCTCAACTAGAATCATACTAACTAGTTTTAATTCCAATGACCTTTCACATACATGACTATACATCATCAGAAATTTTGATTCAGGAAATATTTATAACGATCTAACAGTCATGCTGATTCAGTTTCAACCTGGCCAAATATTGAAGCTGTTTGCGCCAAATACAGTGCCATCTTCAAGAAGGTAATCTACGAGAGGCACCTTAAAATCTCTTCCCTTGTGTTGATACCATGCTCCAGTTTCTTGATCCTATAAAACATCACAACCGACATAAATGGAAGAAGCTAGCAACTCCAGCACGTACATGTGGTGACAAGCATATCAAACATTAAAGTAAAACTGGCGAAAACAAATAGACCTTTAGGACGAAATTTATGGCAGCAATTGCACTCTTGGGATCAATATCAATCTTCACTTCATAAAATGAATCATCACCAGATGCTTTCTTTAAAGGTGTCTCTATTGCATAATTCTGCGGGGGGAAAAACCACGTTTCATGGTTTGTAGTTCAACTAAAAAACTGCACTGTGGCCAGCACTAGAATATCATGAATCAACAATTATTTACCTTGACTGGTACGGAACCAGAAGGTCTCATATGCTTTGGAGGTTGATCCCATTCGCTGAAATAGAAGAAACAGACTACATAACTGATTTCTAGGTGAATATAAACCAAGAAACAGTACATAATTCCATAATACAAAACTGGAAAAAAGGCTAACAAATAACACTCTTGTGAAAATCAATCAATCAATAAATCTAGCTATTAAAAGAGATCTAATATGTCAACAGCAACTTTCCTAACCTGCCAATATCATTAACATAAGAGACTCCCCAATGAAGAATCCATTTCCCAGGAAGGCTACATCCCACAGTCAGATGCCAATTACCTTTCCCGTTTTCCTGATCTATGCGCACAAAAATCTTCCCTTCAACCTATCATTCCAAACCAAACCAAACCAAACGTCAAATTTTCAGCAAGACCGCACACTACTCAGAATGCACAATGCATCATCTCACTTCAACGGCACAATACAAAAGAATCAGAGGAGCCAAACTTTTTTGCAAATACCAAAGAAGTCGATTAAGCTTTACTAAAACCTAGCACCGCATCATTTCTTCAGCTTTATCAACGATCAAAACAAACAATGAACAGACAAGGAAAATGGAGAAGTTACCGTTTCAGTTCGGGTGACAGGGAAGCTGTGCCGGAAAAACACATCTCCGGAGGACTCGAAAGTCTCCGCGAGCGCAGTATTAGAAGAAGAAGAGCTACTAGCTCTGATCACGACGGGAGCAGCGGGCCGACGACGCAGACGTAGCTTGCATTTCCCGCGATGAAACAGCTTCTGCCGCGAACAATTCAGCGAAGAAGAAGAGTAGCAGGAATTCGCAACCTTCCGGAGTCCAGAAACCTCCGTCCGGCGGTGATATCGGAGGAGTGGCTCAACGGTGACGGAGGACATTGCCGTACGCGGCGATCAGACTCGGAGAGAGAAAGTTCTTTATTTTATTTTATAAATGAGGCCAGGGGAGGCGACGGCCGGTGGTTATCTTATTGGCTTTCGCTTAAAATCTCGCTAAAGCTAACTTTTCAATTTCTCGAAAAGCAAAATCTCCCTTTTTTTTATTTTCTCGTTTCGTCCGTTACTGAACTTGCGAAATATTCAGGGCGAGCTTCCCGCTCTTGCTGTTGCTGACTAATACCAGAGAATCTCGTTACAGGTGCCGTCTTAGCTACCAAAACGGAGGTACCTGGTGTCGTTTTAAGGCCCGTGATTACGTGGTACTGGTAGCCTACTGGACACGTAATCACGTATACCCAGAGGCTTATCCGAACCACGAAATCGGGGCTATTCTTTCTAGCGAACCACAGACAAGCTGTGCAAGTTGGAGGCAGGATTTTTCTTGTTATGTTTCTACGGGAATTCACGATATGCCGGTGATTTGTGGCTGTTTCTTCAGCACTACCATTGCTCCATGGAAGCAGAAAGATGTTTGGTTGTTCATTCCTCTCCACTCGGGGAGGAAGATTAGTCGTTCGATTCACTGCTCTGGTAGCAATGATCAGCTACCCAAACAAATTCAGGTGTTTTTTCGTTCTTCTCTGCTACTTTAAGCCAGTTGATCGATCTTAGTTCAGTTCTTCCCATGGATTATGTGAATCAATCGATTTCGTGCTGTTTGGGCAGCTGGGTTATGATCCTTCGGAGGAATTGCTAGGACTCCCTGATCCAAAATCAAGGTTGTACCCGAACTTCCATGGTGGGCTGGCTGTTTGCAGTGAATTCAGGAGATTGAAGTTATGTAATGTAATGGGTGTTGTTTGGTTCCAGGAATATTTCGTCTAGTGCAGCGAAGACAAGGTCATGGTTTGGTCCGAATGGACAGTATATCAGAGAGCTTCCTTGTCCAAGTTGTAGAGGGAGAGGCTATACTCCATGTTCTGAGTGTGGCATTGAGCGGTCCAGACTGGATTGTCTTCAATGTAGTGGCAAGGTAATTTTGCGCTTCACTCTTAACAGTAAGAACTGCAAGTTAGTTTCAGGCAGAAAAAGTGGGAAATATATGGGTGTCAAAAGTCAATTATACGACTTTCTAGTTGCACTGCTAGTTGATGCATTTGGAGTTACTGAACATTTTGTTTGGTTGATTTTACTTCCCTGGCAGGGTATAATGACTTGTGGTCGGTGCTCTGGCGACCGTGTCATATGGGAAGAGTCAATTGATGAGCAACCATGGGAGAAAGCTCGCTCGAGGTATCTTCGTGAAGTTAATTAACCATTTCTGGGTTAAGTGGATTTGCATTATGAAGCTCTCTGCAACTCCGAGGACACATTTTTCTCAACCTCTAATATCGTCGTTGTCATACGCTAACATATGGGGAGAAGAAAGTGGTATCTGTGTATTTCATTTAATTATGTTCTTCAATGTTCAGCTCTGCATTCAAAGTGAAGGAAGATGATGAAGTTGATAACTTAGAAATAAAGTTGGAGACCAAGAAGAAATCCAAGCGAGTGTACCAATCTCCATCTCCTGAAGTTGGACTGAAGATTAGCCGATCACTGAAGGTTATTTGCCTGCTTGAACCTGTCCTAGTTCATTCGAAATTCTGGGTTTATGAAGCTTCTTAATCCAAATTTAAGTCGTGACAACGGGCAAAGTTGCAGTGACTAAAGTGACGGAATGTGGGGGTTTGCTTTGGGAACACATCTTAACTTCCACTTGAATTCTTACAATGCCCTTCTTCAACTCAATCTTCTTTGTTTAGTTTGCTATGTGCAGAGTTTAAATGCCAAAACAGGACTATTTAGTAACCGAATGAAGATCATCCATAGTGACCCAAAGCTCAGTGCCGAGAGAGCTGCATCGATCAAGGTTGGTGTTACAGTGACCGAACTTAAACTATTGTCTTGTATCTAATCAGAAAAATTGCATGAGAACTTCAGTGATTGGACACTGTTTGTTTGGCTTCAACTTTTTGTGTACAATTACAGAAAGCCAAAGGAACTGCTGCTGCTAGAAAGCGCACTTCTGAATCCTTGAAGGCTTTCTTCAGTGATCCAGAAAACCGCCAAAAACGAAGCATTTCCATGCAAGGTCCATAGAAGCGGTTTGATAAATGTTACAAAAACCATGTCCCATATAACTCATCATATTGCTGACGGGCATTGAAACTTTTTCATTTTGAAACGCAGGCATAAGATTTTACTGCACAAACTGTGGAAGAGAAGGCCACAGGAAACATTATTGTCCCGAACTCAAGAATCACTTGCTAGACAGGCGGTTTAGGTGCAGGTTCTGTGGAGAAAAGGGTCATAACATAAGAACCTGTTTGAAGTACAGGCAAACTAATCGCAAAATCACAAGTAGAAGAGATCGACTCTGCAGGATTTGTCGTCAAAGTGGCCATAACCAGAGAACATGCTCACAAGTGACTGGATTAATATCCACAAATAAGAGCTATAAACAGAAGATTAGAAGGAAGTACAGCTGCAGAATATGCCATCAAAAGGGTCATAATAGAAGGAGATGCCCTCAGGTTACAGGCTTAATGGTAGAAGATAGTGTTATGAAGAAAGGCTTTGTTGTTGCGACTTCTGAAACTAGAAGTAGAACATATATCTGCAGTTCATGCAAAAGCAAAGGGCACAATGTGAGAACTTGTCCTAATAGAAGCACTGAGCCTACAGTTTCAGATTTACAGGCCAATGGAGGAAGCTGATTTCTCTGTGTCGCGGGGTTTGAGTCGTGTTAAGTTAAGTTGAGACAAGAAAATGGTTTATAAGGATAATTTATATTGTATGATTTTTTGGAAATGAAACTGTAACTTGTGATTAGCGGTTAATTGGATGCTGGATGATAATATTTTATTTCGGTGTGATGATGCTTGGAAATGGATATTTGATGTATGATATTTTTGTACAATAACAAAGATTTGGAGAAATAAAATATTGTGATTTGCATGAGAAGTGGAAATTTTAATTGAAAGTTTAAGAAGAAGGATTGGATAAATGATCTTTGTGATTATTGATACAATTGAGAATGAAGTGTTGGGATTTAGGATGGTGTGGGTGGGAATGAAAGGAGAAAGAGGCGTGTTCTTGAAGTATCATGTTGGTGAGATGTGGGAAGATACGGTTTTAAATTCGTTTGATTTTTAAATATGTTGTTAATTGGTTAGATTGGTTTGTATAAACAATTCCATCCAAACAAAATGAAAATTGAACCAAATTGATGCGGCGGTGAGGATAAATCAATCGGTCCGACTATAATGGACTGAACTGACTATTTGAAATTCAATATGAGCTAATACATAATTTAAATATTAAAGTTAGGACGAAAACTTATAATTTTACGAAGATCTTTGACGATTTATAAATACATAGGAAAAATCGGGCAGATAGAAGGAGAACTCTTTTTGGTCCTCCTATCACACTTTCTACAATATGTCCTCATCTTGGAAGTTGCAACCAATTTTGAGGGTTTTGAGTGGTAGAGAACAAAGGGATGGGTTCCTCCCATCTGAAGATCAAATTGAAGCAAGAATATCAATGAGATTCTTATGGTTTTATCTTTCCTCAACCCCCCCCCCCCCCCCAAGTTTATGAGGAACTATACCCCTTAATTGTTCGAATAGAATACTGTTTTCTTGTGTGGGAATTCTATGATATGATTTGACTTGTTCACATATTTCTTCCTTGTATTGTCATCTATTGTATTTGATATTTGCTAGGGCTGGTGATTGGTTCAGTTTGGTTATAACTGAAACTATTTAGTCGGTTTTCGATTAACCCTTAAGAACTTTGTGTTAACCGTCAACCACACTGTTTATATTAGTCGGTTAATTATAACCATATAGTCGGTTGTCGATTAACCAGATAATTGTTAAACAAGTGATCTGTCAAGGTTATACGAAAATAACTTATCGGTAACCTAACCAACAGAATACCTTTTTTTCATTTGTTCATTTTTGTAGATTTCTCCTAATGCGTATGTGTTCTTTTTTTAAGATGTTATATAATTTAATAAAAAATAATTTAATGTACATATCAATCTATAATCAACTCTATCAAACACAAGTACACAAAAACATCGTTCTACTATCAAATTTGATTAAAGAAGCAGACAAGAATAAGAGACCCGACAACAATTATTCAACTCATAAACCCCACCAAATTACATGAAAGGTTAAATGCTACTGATTGTTGTCCAGCTACTATGAGCAAGTCCAAGTGTCCAAATTTCTACTGTGCTCATTCTAAATCTCTTCCTTGAAATTATTCTCGCTTGATCCTAAGTCACTATTACAACTGCAGTAGGCAAGCGATCTTGTAGGGCTTCAAACATTCCATTATTTTTTGCCTATGCCTACGGTTCATCGATGCCTATTATTTGTGTCCCTACTATGAGGATGGTTGGTTAGTCAGTTAATCATTTAACCCTCTCTTTATAATTGTTTAACTGTTAATTAGTAATAAGCCAAATTTGACTACCAAAAATCGACCTTTTAATGTTTAATCAACTATCGGTTTCGCTTTGATTATCGGCTACACCGTAACATGATAACCATTTCCCAACCCTAATATTTGTCTCCTCATTCGAAGATGTGTCCTTTATGAGTCCTTGATCGCCCTTAGGAGCATTATGAGGCAGGAGAGAATCAAGGTACATTTGACAACTTTAATTGCATCTGATACATTTGGTATTTGAACGAGAATTTAAGTCAACGTTGAGATTTTTTTACAATTTGAATATATTTATCGGCCAATGATTAGAAGTGTCATGAGGTCTCATTTTCCAATCAACAAGTTAGGTTCATAGGGTGAAGTGTCCTGTTTGGGGAGCTTGGGGACACACCGTGTTCCGAGATCTAATATGGGCTTTTACATTATTATTTGGGTAATGTCTATTTTTTACCCAAACCTTTTTCATATTCTTTTATATTATTCAAACCTATCGAAAGACTAAGAATTAGCCAAATGTTAACTTTTACTTAGCAATTTTGTTAGTAATAATAACTTGGCAACATGATACTGACTTGGAAGAGACACATGAAGGTCAACATTCCAAAATTTTAGTATTTTAACTAAGAAAGGAGTTACAAAATTATTAACGATAACGTAAAAATGGCTAATATTTTGATGCATTACGAAAGATTTGGCTAATTAATAGCATTTTACTAGGTTTGGATAATATAAAAGAATTTGAAAAAGGTTTAGTTAAAAAATATACATTACCCTTATTATTTTTATGTTGGACACATATTTATCCTATTCATTTTTTGTTTGGAGATGTATCTATAAATATTCTAACCCCTCTATAATATGTGCTCTTCTTAATACAATGAAACTAGTCTCTGTTTTTTTGTCCGAGTAAGATCAAGAAGATAGTTAGAACAAGTACTACTCACATTCCCTCTCCGCTCCACTAACAAGCCAACCTACAAAGTCGAAAAAGATAACTCTAACCGAGACACCAACAAGACTTTACGTGCCACTACATGGTCAGTCCAGTTGGTAGTCTGCGAAACCTCCCTAAACTCTATACAATGAGACAGAAACTCAAGAAAAAGCAACCAATCTTGTAAGAGAGGGCCACCAACGAACTCCTCACACTGCACCAAGGTTGAGTTGATGGAAGATCAATGCTGCGTCGCCCTCGATGATGATAGGAGTCAAACTCCAAGAGGCTGTAAGCGAGATCGCATTCCTAGTTGCAAGGATCTCTGCAAGGTATGGGTCCAAGATCCCCTGATGCTAAAAACCCGAGGCAAGCAGCACATGCCCGTCCGAGCCACAAACCACAAGGCCAGAGGTGCATCCAGAAGCTTAGACAACATCGTTGAAATTGATCTTCAGATAAACTTGAGGAGGGCTCTCCCAGAGTTGGCTTGAAGACGTAGGCACACGAGGATGGACAGAAGAGGTAGGCGGCAAAGAGGTGAGTACTTCACGGATTAGAGACGAAAATTGGCAGGTAAGCGAACGAACATGAGGTTGAGTATTTTTCAAATACCAATTTATTTCTTGATTTCCATATTCTCCACAAGAGGCATATGACTTGGAGAATATGGGTTTGAGACTGCTCTGGTAGCATAACTTGAGAATGAATTAAACTAGTCTCAAATAGGTAACACACATCATGTTAATGAAAGATGTAAATATGTTTTGTTTATGTTCTTGGTTTGCCAATTACCTCCTCTGTCCTAACATTACCACATGTATTTTTTTATATGCAATATAGGTATTTATTATTTAATAAAGCCTTATGCTCATAATTTGTTGTCCTATATTAAATGGTTGATAACCTAATCAGTCTTCGGAATTTAGTAATTGAAAGAATGTGTTGTCTTAGCTCATTGGAACCCTTCAACAAAACTAGAACACCAAAAATAACTTTAATATATATTTGCCAAAGCAGGAAAACCAAAGAATAGGAGAACAAAATTGGCGATATATGTTTGGCAATCCACATTTCCCGCCTTATATGCCTCTAGACCTAATAATTTCCAATTTTCTTCCTTTTTGCCATTATTGTTTTTTTTTTTTCAAATTTAGAATTTTTTTTTATCACTTTACAGTTTCTTTTTCCCAGCATGTGTATATAAATAATCCATGCCCACCACCCTTCCTTGACTCTCAGGCTTTTGAAATAAAAAAAAAAATCCCAAAATCCTTTCATTCTGGCTGCCTGTCCGTTGGTGCGGACAGCCAATTCTGGTCCTGAATCTTTCAGGACCTTGGCTTTGAAGCCTGAGAATTTCACCTTTCTTCTCCAGGGGTAAAAAAAAAAACCAAAAAGAAAAAAAAGAAGGGGAAAACACAAAAAAGAAAGAAAAAAAGTCTCTAATATGGCTTCCGTATCCATCAAGCTTGGCTTTTTCTTTCTCGTGTGCGGCACATTAATTCCCTACCTTGAGTCTCATATTGCCGATTTCGATGAATATTGGCAACAAAAAGCCGAGGAGGCACATCAGGTGTCCTTGGAGACGTACCACCCAGAGCCGTACAACGTGACGGAGCATTTCAACGCAGTGGTTCACATGGACCTGTTCGGGTCCAACAACACTCGTCGAAACTTGAGGAAGAACAGGGGCAAATGTCTGGCCACCAACCCGATCGATCGCTGCTGGCGGTGCGACCCCAATTGGGCCAACAATCGCCAAAAGCTGGCCGACTGTGTCCAAGGTTTCGGGTACAGGACCCGAGGAGGAAAAGGAGGCCCAATCTACGTGGTCACCGATGCTTCCGACAACGACCTCGTCAACCCGAAACCCGGAACGCTCCGACACGCCGTGATCCAAAAGGGTCCGCTCTGGATCATCTTCGCACGGAGCATGATCATCAAGCTCAATCAAGAGCTCATGGTGAGCTGCGACAAGACCATCGACGGCAGAGGGGCGAACGTCCACGTGGCTTTCGGAGCCGGGATCACGCTCCAGTACGTGAACAATGTCATCATCCACGGGCTCCACGTCCACGACATTGTTTCCGGGTCGGGCGGGCTGATTCGCGACTCGGTGGATCACTACGGCCTTCGGACTAGGAGCGATGGCGATGGAATCTCGCTCTTTGGGGCGACGAACGTGTGGATTGACCACGTGTCCATGTCCAATTGCGCGGATGGGATCATCGACGCCATTATGGGGTCCACGGGCGTCACGATCTCTAATGCCCATATCACCGACCACAACGAGGTAAGATTTTGTTAAGTGTGCTGGTGCATGATCCAGGATTGAACCTCTCCCCAGCAACTCGCGAGTTATTGGGACCAACTGGTTTATGAAATGGTATCAAGAGTCTTGTGTGACCGCGAGAGGTCCTGTGTTCGAATCCTGGTAACCTCCATTTGTTAAACACATGGTATGTGGACCTGTAGTGCAAACTTCAAGCCCTTATGAGTGGCTTTCGTTTGAGTGGGCGTGTTAGTGTGGTATATGATCTACGATGAAACCTCTCCCAACAACT